GGGCCGTGCCAGGGCGGCTCGAAACGGAAAGCGAACCAGGTACAAGCGCAGCATTAGAGTGAGCATCCCAGGTCAGGGCGCCGCCAGGTGTCTCGTCAGTTGCCTCGTCGTATCTTCCTCGGAGGCTCCGCCCCAGCCGTCACCGCCCACCAAAACTCCCCAACCCAACCCGAAGGCCCAAATTTACCCTCCATTCCCAGTGGGGGGGGGGTCGGGGGGCGTTTTTTATAACAACAAAAAATCCCGTACCCCCCCAACCCAAAAGTCGGGTCTTCGGATTGGGTCGGGGTGGTCTGGTCGGTAGTCAAGCCATGCCCCGCCTAGGATCCATAGGCTGTTCCCCCGAGGTGGCTCTTGGCAACGCTGTCAGCGTCTTGCGCAAGGGCCGCTGGGACGCCAACGCCCTCGTCTCGCCCAGGGTCGTCCTGCTGTTCCCCCGCGTTGGTTCCGGGTGGACTACCACAGCCTCCCATTTCCTGCGCCAGGGGCTCCTGGACGGCAACGCCAGGGCCATGCTGCTGATGTCCTGGGCTGGCACCAGCTGAAAAGCCAAAGCCTCCCGCATCCTGGACCAGGGTCGCTTGAGCGTCAACTGGGCTTCCATGGCGGCAGCAAGCCGAAGCTTCGGGAGCGGCTGGCACACGCAGTTCAGCAGTTCCGGGACGGCGTGGAACCAGCACCTCCAAAAGGTCGAACCATGCGTGCGCCAAGAGAGCCAGAGCGGGGCAGGGTTGGATCAGCTTTTCCGATGGCACACCCGGACAAGGATTCCGAGGCAAGTCCAACCGCGGCGCCAGGTGAAGCGCCTTCCTCATTCAGGGTTCCGTCCTCAAGCCCGGTCTCGCGCGCTGATTCCAGGCTTGTAGCTGATCGTCTCGGGCTCCAGCTTCGCCGTCTGCATCTGCCTGAAATGGTCGGCTTCGCGCGCGCTGATTCCACGTCTGCCAGAGATCACCGAGATTGGACGTGATGGCTCCCAGACTGTCCTTGAAAGCTTGATTGCCTCGGATGCCCGCTTCGCCCTGCCCCCCCCCCACAGCTGCCTGAGTTCGCTGGTTCCTCGCTCGCTGACGCCTGCATGGCAGCCGATCGCGTCGGGCGCCAGCCTGGCCTCCCACGTCTGCCTGGGATCGCTGGTTTCGCACGCGTCGGGCGGGTGGTAATGGGGGGCGGCCCAGATGGGGGGTGAAGGAAAGGGCCCTAAAGCGAAGGGCCTCTTGGAGCCAGAAGGTGCCCAAGAGGGGCCCTAAAGGGCCCCTTTAGGGCCGTTGTCTTCAACCCCCCGTTTGGGTCAGTGACCCGTTCGGGCGGGTGGCAATGGAGGGCGACACCCAGCATTACCCGCCGCCCGAACGCGCTGGTTCTGTGGTTGTGGCTGATCGCATCGGGCCCCAGCATCGCCTCGCGCATCTGCTGGAGAACGCAGGCATCGCGCGCGCGCTGATCCTGGAAGAGTAGCTAGGCGCTTCGGGCCCCCCCAGACCGCGACGCACGCGCCGATCCCAAGGGAGGGCCAGGGAGGCCGCGGGGCGAGATACGGCGTCGGCAAGAGCGTCGGCGAGGGCGTTGGAAGCAGCCTCGGACACCCGTCGGGCACTGCATCGGGGGGAAGCCAGGCGTGATTCCAGCACTGTGGGTAATCGCGGCTGGGTGGGCGAAGGGGGAGGCGACGGGCAGGCCAGGGCGCTGAGCGATGTGCATGGCGGAGGGGTGGGCGTGGGGCGGTGCAGAGGGCTTGGCGTGGCGGGGCGGGGGACCGAGTGCCCAGCGAGGCGTCGGGCAGGGCGTCGGGCACCCAGCCTGGCAATTACCCAGCATGTTGCTGAGCAGCGGAAGGGCCCGCTGCCACTGCTCATCATTCTCGCCTCCGCCGGTCTCTGCACTGTAGCTGTTCGCGCTGGGCTCGCGGCGCAGCAGCCCGGTCCAGCCCTGCGGATCCCAGCACCGCAGTTGGTCGCGCTTGGCTCCAGCACCGAGGGAGGTGCGGGGCCAGGGCCGCGCGCCGCGGCCGCCGGCGCTCGCAGCCGCCCGCGACAGCGCCGCCGCGCGGCAGCCCAGCGGCCAACAGCAGCAACGACCTCAGCGGCGGCAACCCTGTCCGCGGCGCAGCCTGCGGCCGCTGCCCAGCACCCGGCACAGGGGGCGGCCCAGCCCCCGCTCTCGGCGGTGGCGGCGCCCGCGGTGCCCGCGGCGGTGGGGGCGCCTGCGCGCGCGGCGCGCGCGGCCCCACCAGCGCCCGCAGCGTCAGCTGCGCCAGCAGCGCTGGCTGGGCCAGCCGCGCCCGCGACGCGCGCGGCGCCGGCCCCGGCGGCGCCAGCGGCCCGTAGCGGCGGCGCCCTCCTCGCCGGCGGTGCCCTTGGCGGCCGCGGCGCCCGCGGCGCCAACGGCGCCAGCGGCGCCCGCAGCGCCCGCGGCATCCGCAGCGCGCGCCCGGCGTTGCCGCCGCCGCCGCCGGGCGGCTGGAGATTCCAGCGGAAGGGCATGACGGGGTGGCGGCCAC